AAAAAATTTTCATTGCAGCTTAGTATATTAAAGAGAAAACTAGAGAAACTAAGTTATCCTTCACATGTGTGCTGGGTTGAAAGTAAGTTTGATTTCATAGCTCTAGTAGAACATGATGTTTGTACTTAGTAAACAATTGTTTTATAAGCTAACCCTTTACTTGTTTGTTCTACAGTACTTTATGGTACAATATACACTATATACTTTAAACATATTTGATGTATAAGTATTTGAGGACACATTAATGTATGTGGCCTTAAAAGTCATGATAAGGTTTTGAATTATACCCTAAGTGTGATGGGAAGTGAGTAGTACCCTAAAATGACTTTAAAATGTTAGATAAAAGAGCTATTTAAATTGTACCTTATGCTTTGTATAATATTTAAAACGTGAGGATTGTTAATAGCCGTTATGATTTCATTTGGAACTTAAATTACTGAAGTAATTTAAGAAGTCTGATTCATAAAAGTCATGCTTTTTTATTTCTAAAACATGTATAAGATGACACAGTCTGATATAAGAGCCTAGACAGAATTCTCCTACTTTGAGATTTCTGTATATGAGATATTTACATCAAAAAGTATATAAAACATATGTATAGTTTAATGAATAATTATAGAGTGAACCACTGTAATCACAATATAGGTTAAGAAACAGAACATTACCAACTCCCCAGGAACCCTTGCTATATGGCTTTTTAAAAAAGAGCTTACTTAGTACTATAATCTGTGATAATTATCCACTTAAATGTCAACTGAAATCATGTGACCAATCTTTTTATGGGCAAAAGGAGTGTTCCCTTAAGTCCATATTTAATTTCAATATGGAAATTGAGTACATATCCACTTAAAATTTATTCACATTCAGTTTAGAAATGTTCCATCTCTAAGGTACTAATTTTTGGTTTTAAACAAAAGATATATCAAGTGTATAAAAAACAGAACTATAGAACTTGAAGAAATGTATGCGAGTACATCTTCATACATTTTTGTAAAAGCAAACTTAACAGTGATAGCTTTAAGATAAAAGGCATTCGATTAAAATAAAATAAAAGTCAGTCAAAAGTTTAAGATCTCATTACGGGTTTCATTACAACAAATTAGGTAAAATGAGAAGACTTCTTTGTTTCTGCGTTGCTTCTAGTATATGCTTAGCACTCAATAAATGTGAAACAATAAAATATGAATTAGGCTAATCATAGCATGTCTAAAATATATTTTATTAAATTTGAGCCTACTTAAAATTTTATATTATAGAGCCTTGACATGTCACTGATTCATAACCTTTTCCAATATTAAAAATGAAACCTACAAAATCTAGATTTCTATATTTTTTAAATAAATATTTTAGCAACAAACTACCAGAGAACAAGAAATATATATCGTCAAATTTAAACTAACAATGTTTTAAAATAAAGAATTTCATATTAAAGTTAGGTTATTCTCTTACAGAAAATTCTACAAAACTTTTGCAAATGTATTTAAAATAGTAAAGGAAAAGAAAGGATTGAAATATAATAAGTAAAAGCAGCTATTAAAGATACACAAAGTGTGGGTAAAACTAAGTGGACAACATGTATAAAAATAACATTTAGAAGTATCGTTCTTAAACTGTAGTGCAGTGGTACCTGAATTATGTGCCCTTTAATTTATGCACATGATGGATAGCTTGTTAAGAGGCATATCTGTAACCATTATAATTGATAGTAGCTGAAGGCAGTCAGATCATAATTTCTATTTAATGGATGGCACAGTAAGGGGACAAAATCTCTAGTACCATTTTAAAATAAGTGCCTAGAAAGTTTACATTTATGTCCAAAGTAATATGTATATTCTAGCTATTTCTATGTTGAATTCTTTAAGAAAGTAAAAAATCAGCTACATCAAGATCCATATATTAAATCAAAATCTTGATTTAACCAATAACTAGAAAAATATTACAGTAAGTGGAAAGAAATGTTCAACTAACCATTTGATGGTCCATTTTTGAGAACTTGTTGTTTAGAGCTTGTGGGAGAAGCATATGGGCTCATTCGACAAGTTCCAGTTGTTGGAGAATAATTTGTAATACTTTTTTTCCTTGTAATTTCTGAAGGATCTAATAACTGGAAATAAATATTAATTTAGGACAAATATACTTATGTTTAGTTATAAATCTCTGAAAATACCTTTGAAAACACACAAAATTCAACCAGTACTCTTTTCCTTGCTCTTTCTTTTGGATTTTAAATATACTCAATTATCACCTTTGAAAGTGAACACTATTTTTAAAAGTTATGTACATATTTCAGTTCTTCACACTAATTAGGGAATCTCAATTTGATATTTATGGAATTTTAACATTAAAGGGTTACTGCCGTCTGAGGTAGTATTTCCAAACAAGTAGAGATGGCTGACTTGCCCAATTACATCCTGACTCTTGCTATCAGCTGAACCTGAAGGTCATTATGGGCCAAAATAATGTTCAAACAATTGCGAATGGAATTGAAGGTCTTGGAGAATTTGGCGTATCCTGTACAAATCCTCTGCAGCTTCCTCCTCTGTGTTCCCACAGACCTTGTGCATACCTCCTACTGGAGTTAGCAAATTTTTTACATTTCTGTCTGCCCTGCTAGAATTTGAGTTCCTGCAAATAAATGTCATTTCTTCATCTTTGTACTCTATAACTAAAAAATGTGATAAACACACGATGTAAAAGGAACAGTCCAATATACTTGGCCAAGCCACTCTACATAGAATATATTCATTTGTTCACTAATTCATTCATCCAATATTACATGGCACCTGTAGGCCCAGTCATGAGGCTATACACATTTGGGCCTTAGCCCTCTCTTTTTTATCTTCCCTGGGACCTAGTCTTTTTTTGGTTCAGATCCCCATTCATGATCCACTTCCTCCAAACACCCATTTTCATACTGTTGATTGATCGCTCTTCTGAATTTCCTTTAAAGTTGTTTTTTATAATGCTTACTAATCACCCAGCATTTGCTAACTAATGTGTGCAAAGAAGCAGAACAAATTCTTCTGGCCTCATAGACAGCAAAGAAGAGGTCTTAAGGTAGTATGTGCTAAAGAAATTAAGAGAGGGAAAATTAAAGTGGGCTGCAGTAATCTCACAGCAAGGTTCTTGTGAGGGGGAGGGTAAGGCTAAGATAAGTGAAAATAAAAGGTATGAAAAATCTGAAACCCAGATGTAAAACTGACATCATAGGGTGGATGTGGGGGATAAAGGAAAGGCCAAAATTGTAGAACTGAACTTTAGCTTGGTAGCTGTCTTGAAATAGTTATATAATTCTCCATTGTCAACTATCCTTTATTTTTAAGACACCATGAGAGAAATAGTGGCTGTTTCACATTTTTCAATAATCTTGGTATTAATTCCAGAATCTATAGCATCAAGTTTTTTTACAGTTAAGATTTTTAAATGATAAGTACTTCTTTGTATTGAGGGAATAAAACGCATTCCATTCTTTATTTTATGTACCCACAGTAGCCACAAATGTAACCAATATCTTTAAAAAAAAATCAAACTATAATATCAAGTTATAACTCTAAAGCAATCTTTTTTGTAGGGTGCAAGGGTTTTAAGTCTCTTTATCAGGTGGTTATTATTACCTCTCCATCTTGAGTTTTCACCTGTTTATATGTATTCGGTCATAAACTATGACATTTATCCAATCCTACCCTACTTTTCCAAGAATTTATTGCCCAGAACTATTTTACTGTGTATGTACAAGAAATGGAAGTCACTACCCTAATGTACATTTATGTCAATCTGTTTTCCTATTTTCACCAAAAAATTATTTTTTCCAATTGCCAAATATCTAAACATTGTAACTGTAGATCATACATTTCTCCTTGAAAACAATTTTCTAGCTTTCATAAAATAAGTCTTTGTGTGCGCATGAGTGTGTGCGTGCGTGTGTGTGTGTGTGTGTGTGTATGTGTGTGCGCGCGTGTCTGTGTATTTTTTTTTTCTTTCCTCACCTGAAAAATACTGAGGCTTCTCTTTTGCTTTCTTTTATTTGGTCATCTGTGTTGGTTAAAAGAAAAAAAAGTTTGTCTACAATTATTATATAGAGAGGGAAAATGAAAATCTACCTTTCCCTACTATCCCACTAAATATTCTTAGTAAGATTTTTATATATCTGCTTACTGATATATACACAAAGACATACTCTTATTTCTCTACGATTTACAGCCCCCCTCAAAGTTTTAATAAGATCTTCTAACTTTTAAACCTTGAAGATGCTCAAAAGTGACTGTAAAATCCATCTAAATATTTCTGTTCTGCCATCCACCAGATGAAGGCCTTGGCCTACTGATTAGTCTCCCACAACGGGAAGAGTTAAGAAGACAGGGATTTGAGAGAAGGCTGAGCTACCTACCAGTTGAGAAGTCTGGCATTCTTTCCACTCAGTAATGATGACTGCTACTTACCAGATGCTTTAGAAAAAGAGGAAGAAAATGAGAAGAATAGATTTGGGTAGAGAAGGGAAAGAATTCAGGATGTAAACAAAATGTAAGAAAACAGGAATCAGATAAATCACAACTACGTCTTTAATAATTTACAACTGCTTGTAACATTTACTGACTCCTTAGAGATATTTAACACTACTGTTAAAAAGATTCTATGATCAGCCCAAATTCCACTATACTTTTTGTAAGGAGGTCAAACCTTGTACATTAACGAAACTAAGGTTGGGGCATTGATTTTTCTGCCTAAAATAAAAGAAAAAGAAAAAAGAAATGAATCTTCTCTCTATAATTTCAAATATATATGACATTCTCCTTCAATATCTTTCACAAATTGTAGTTTGCTTCGTCACTTTGTTTAAAGCATATTCTACCAAAAAAGATGTCTGAATTTATTGATTTTTACCTATTATAAACAGTCTAAAAAGTACAAACTAAAGGTTCTTTCAGTATTAAATATGAGATATAAAGGATCTACTGTTATTATGGACTACTAGCCTATGCTATCACTGAAATATTTAAAACACAGGTATTATAGGTATTTGGATAACCAGAAACAAAAGAAAAGTTAGGTCAGCCAAAAGGAGATAATTCTTTATAAACTCACACTGGCTAATTAGGTTATTAGAATATCTCACCTAAGATATTATTATTAATTACTAGTACTAATTATGTAATTTACATTATAAAACCCTAAATACAGAGGGTGCCAAAAAA